ACAGGTTTGTAGAACCATGATACACATGGGGAGGAACGCGTGCGAGTTGAACGAGAGGTGCGTAAGGCTGGGGAGGCGCGATAGGGATGATGCCCAGGAGCCGATTTGGTGCGGTGAGCTGCTGAAGGAGTGGTTCCGGAGTTCGAGGTGCGTGAGCGAGGCGAATGCCCCGGATTCGTCCAGGACGCAGAATCGGGGACGGACGTCGAGGTAGAGGTGTTTGAGTGGAAGGCTCCTGATCAATGCCGCGAGGGGCGGCACCTTGTCCACTTGCGACTCTTTGATGATGAGGGAGAGATTTTGGACGCCGGTGCAGAGGGAGAGCACTGTGGCGATGTCCTGCGTGGAGTGATCGTGGACATTAAGCGATAGTTCTCGGACGACGTCGTGCAAGAAAGACGACGGTCGGGTACTCTCGTTCCGCACAACGCTCATTAGTACATCCCAGGTAAAGACGGGATACTCCGAATCCGGGTCGCGGGGTCTTGGGTCGACGATGACTGTGCGCCACATAATGGGCTCTGTCCTGAGGAGAGGTTTTAGATTTGCGACTCTGATGTTTTTTCTACACCCACCAAGATTTGACTCGCCAGGCCACACGCATGAGGCTCGGGATTTCGGACGGCTCGGAGATGGCACAGAGGGTGAAGATTTCCTTCTCCAGCTCGGTAGGGAATACCGGAGGCAGCCCTTTGGAGCGTGTTCTCATTGTGGAAGATGGAGAATGAAGAGCGAGGGTTCGAGTGGGGATGTGTGTGCGGTGGCAACAAGGTGGCACAAGTCAAGAGTCTTCAAACAGTGCCAAATTGCTTTTGTGATTTTGATCGTTACTCGGTCAGTTTGCCGAAACCTTTGCTCATTCTCGTCTACTCCGTTCCGAGTCTCAATCGCATCGTCCGAATGCTCCAAGATATGTTTTAGCGCCTTGGACTTTCCCGAGCTTGACCGACAACTCTTGGTGGTAGCATCTTGATTCCCCGTTTTCGAGCTCGGAGCCGGCTCTTCTCTAACTTGGGATGAATTGCAGGCCGGCGCAATGGACCAATATCGGGCTTGAGAGCGTACAGAATAGTGTGGATTTTGTCCAAAAACCGATCGGCCATCAAGCCGGCCTTGTCGCGCATCAGACACGGGTGCAGTCTCTTTTGCTCCCTTCCACTTCACCAGACTTCACCAGTGTTATCGCCTTGCATCCAACTTCTGCAATCTCATGCAGCGGTCATGTGCGCTTGCTCACGGGTCACCTTACGTCCACCATCCGGCTTCGCAGAATCGCAAGCGGTCCGCTTAGCTGGCGTTCCTATTTTCCCATCGCCCACCATCCTCTCCGTTTGGTCAAGGATCTGTGGCGGGAACACACCGCGCAGCTAGAGTTCTGAAATATATTCGACCCGAGTCATCTGGAAAGTTGGGAACGTATACAATCGCACGGTACGGCGTGTGCATATGGTCCGCAGGTCCCGAGGGCCGCACCCCTCTGATACGTTGCAGCCCTACTAAAAATATGGCTTGCTTCTCCTTCTTCCGAAGCTCGTACAAAAAGCGGGCATGCGCTGGCCGTTGCACCCAAGAAGCATCCAGATGCTCGCCAAACTCCTCTGCACGGCGCTCTACGCGCTGCACACTGTGGCGGCACCCAGCTGGACATCGACTCCATTCAATCCTCCTTCTATTCCCCTCGCTGTTCGCTCGCCCTACCTCTCGACGTGGCTGCCGCAGGGCGGGGGAAGTGCACTGAATGGTGGTTGGCCCGTCTTCTGGGCGGGACAGGTACGTCCTTGTCCATGACATGCTCCGCCCTCCTGACCACCACAATTCAGACGACCGCATGGACGGGCTTCATCTCTGTCGACGGAACGCAGTATTCTTGGATGGGCGCCCCAGCTGTCCCGGACTCTACTTTCACTCAGGCTACTCAGAAGAGTTTCAAGGCTCGTCTAGTTGGACCTCTCAACCTTCTTTTGACCTTTTCCCGCTAGTTCACTTCGACACAGAGCATTTTCGTGCTTTCCGCTGGTCCTATTGACCTTACCGTGACTTTTCTTAGCCCCGTCGAGGTACGGCATGATCGTCGTCTTCATTTTCATGCCAAGGCTGACGACGCTCCAGACCGATCTCGTAAAACTATCCCTCCCCCTGTCCTACTTGGACGTATCTGTCTCTTCTACCGACGGTCAAGCGCACAGCGTCCAAATCTACACCGATATCAGCGGCGAATGGTCCTCCGGCTCGGATAATTGGAACATCGAGTGGTCGACGACGACTTCGGGGATGTTGAGCCATCAAGTCAGCCTCACGTCCCCGGCGGCGTATGAGGAGATCAGCGATCATGCTCAGTGTGCGTCAGTCCCCAAGATCGCTGTGTGTCTGGCTGATCATGACTGATTGCAGACGGCTCGGTGTATTATTCTACCTTGAGCGGCAAAGGCGTCACATACCAAACTGGTGAAGACGTTGTCGTCCGAGGGACGTTCCTCAACACCTCCGCCCTACCTAACACGCAAGACGTCAACTTCCGCGCAATCAGGTGGGTGCTCCTCTCCCTCTTCCTCTCTTGCTCGCACACTCAAGTTTGCTTGTAGCGACGCATGGCCCGTGTTCGGTCTCGCGAAAGACCTGGGCCACGTCACCACCGGCTCCGTACTCTTCTCCATCGGCCTCATCCGCGACCCCGCAGTGGTGTACATCCTCCCAGGCAACGTCAAACAGGAACGCAGCTTGTACTTTTGGAGCAAGTTTGCCACGGCTGAATCTGCTGTGGGTCTTTTCCTCCTCGGTTTTCGTTTCCCTTCGTCTGACTCGGACGTTACATAGATTGAATTCTTCTTGAACGACTACTCCGACGCGCTGAGCACGGCTAACGCTTTCGACGCACGCGTCGTAGCCGACGCAAGCAAGATCTCAGCTGAATACGCTGGGATCGTCGCGCTTTCCATCCGGCAGTCCCTCGGTGCGAATGAGCTTACTATATCGAAGAATACGCGAGGTGGTGGGTGGAATACGAGTGATCTTATGCTGTTCATGAAAGGTGTGCATGCTTCCCTTCCTCTACTTTCTTTCGTCGCCATGGCTGATGGAAACCAAGAAATTTCGAGCGACGGGAATCTGAATACTGTCGGTGCGTCTGTCTTGCTTCCATCTTCAATCTACTTTGCTAATGCATGGTGCGATCAGACGTCATATTCCCTGCAACCCCCATCTTCCACTACCTGTACCCGAAGATGGGGCAGTACCTCATCGAGCCGCTGTTACGCTACCAGGCTTCGGGGTTATATCCAAACAAGTGCGTCATTCTTTTGTGTATGTACTGGACAATACGACTGACATGCGGCGCGTAGATGGAGTATCCACGACATGGGTAGAAGCAATCTTTTGTCCCGGGTCGACGGCAGTGACCGATTTCGATACAGGTGCTCATTATCCGAAGGCCCTTGGACATCCGCAAGGACTGGACGAGGTAAGCTGTCGTCTAGCCTTTCTGTCGTCCCGCTGATGATTCTCAGGCGATGCCTGTGGTTCGTACCCATCTCCTTGCACCTCAATTGAGTCTCAAGGAATGGCGGTCATTTAGGAAGGTGTGTAACATTATACCTGGACAAGACGAATCAATTGAACGCTCCACAGAATCCGGCAATATGCTGATCATGGCATATGGTTTTGCAAAAGCCACAGGGGACCTCTCACAAATCAAGCGCTACGTGCGTCCTTCCGTCATCTACATCTACATCCGCATCCGCTGATCACCTCCCCAGCGCGCACTCCTCGACCAATGGACCCAATTCCTGATCGATGACTCCCTCATCCCCGCCAACCAACTCTCCACAGACGACTTTGCTGGAACTCTCGCCAACCAGACGAACCTCGCCATCAAGGGGATCGTAGGTATCCGCTGCATGGCGGAGATTGCCAAGTTGCTGGGGGATAATGCGACGTTTGCGAATTACAGTGTGCGTTACACATCTGCGTCTCAGCATCGGATTCGTTGATTTTGAACCTGGTTCCAGAGTATCGCGGCGGACTATGTTACCCAGTGGCAGCAACTTGCGGCCTCGACAAGTGGGCCGCATGTGACTCTCGCGGTTCGTCCCCTCCGCGTGTTCCTGAGGGGTTCCTTTTGATTTGGGCTTGGTGTAGTATGGGATGGCTGATACCTGGGGCTTGACGTACAACCTCTTCTACGACGTCCAACTGGGGCTCAATTTGTTCCCTCAGTCGGTGTACGAAGAGCGTACGTGACTTGAGTTGAATTTTCGTTCGTCTCGCTCACTTTGGGATATGTAGAGACCGCGTGGTATGCGGACAAGCTCAGTGAGTACCACAAAATCTTGATGGCACACTTCATCTCATAATTGCGCCCCAGACCAGTTCGGGATACCGCTCGACTACCCGGTACGTTTTCCTCCCCATTTCGACTTGTTTGATCTTAAACACCATGCAGCCACACGTACACCAAGACCGGCAAGTTTTCTCTGTCTCTCTTTCATCGCCCACCTTTGACACTGGCAGCAGATTGGACGACGTGGACCAGCGGAATCCTCACCGACACCAGCCTCCGTGACCAGTTCATCAGCGCCTTGAGCGCGTATGCTTCCAACGGTCTTAATAATGTACCGTTTTCCGACTGGTATGACACCGTTTCGGGACAGATGGCAGGCTTCCAGTCGCGTCCGGTTGTGGGCGGACATCTTGCGCTGGTGAGTGTTGTTGAATTGATGCAGTGTTGATGGATGGATGACTGAGCTCGATTTAGTTGATTTTGTGAGTCCGAGAGGGATTGAAATGGGATGAATGTTTTTACGGTTCAGTTTATTCTGGTGGCATATCACTTCCTGTTCCGCACACGTTGTGGCACTGCCCAAACCATGAACGCCATCATAATCACCATAGCGAACCTCCCAGTCGAGCGGACAGCGCTGAGAAATCATTTTGATTGCCGTGCCGGTTGGCATGCAGTGACCCGTCCACCCAGCCTGTAGGCAGTCCTAAAGATGCTCTGCAATCGCCCAATAGTCTAATGGTACGACATCGCCAAGCTCTACATTGTGCACAGGCGAAGATGGAGAGTTCGATTCTTTCTTGGGCTTTCAGTGTTCACTCGCGTGCATCCCAATTTTCTTGGTTTTGGCTTCGGCGTATGTATGCACAACACACCTGGGGCCTCTTATTTGGTTCGACTCTGGGATGCGCCGAGGCGGGTGCAGGGAGGTGCTGGGGCAGTCGGACACGGGAGAGCTCCGGCGCGCCGGTGGCGCTGTGATGGCGCATCAGATATCCGAGCCGTAAGCGGGGCAGTCGGGATTGTTATCATCACGCCTGTGACACTCTTGATCTTGACCACCAATGACTCACGCATTCCTCCTGGAAACGGCGACGGCGGCACTGGATTTCGGTTCAATCAGTCCCGTCACCTCCGCGAGTGACTCTCTGCGCATTACTGCGTCTCACTTGCTCTCATATCTTCCCCTTGTGTGAGCACCGAGTACCACTCGTGAGTAGCGCCTTTCCTTTCCTTCTACTTATGTTCTTCGCTGAGAGCTCTATCTGTCATTTGGATGCCAAATGCGCAGATCCATAACATGCCCTTCGCAGGAGAACTTGCCTATCTGCTAAATGCATCTTCTCCCACCAGCATCAATGTCTTCACTCTTCAGCCTCAACCACCTCCTTTACGTTGATCGCGGCTCGGGTGCACAATTGCCACTTTGCTACCGCTTGCGGGCGTGGCTGAAATCTCGCACTAACGCGCTATCACCTCCGTGTTCTCATGCCACGCAATGGAGTCTCCCTCTCGAGGATCTTCGTCGAGACTCGAGCGCCGACACTCCTCTTTTCCAAGAAGTTAGCTGGGATCATGCGTTTATACCCTGAGGTGCGCAAAGATTCACTATGTCTTTCAATCCGAATAGACGAGTCCCAGCTAAGAAAATATCTGGCTCATATGTACTTTTGACTTTCGAGGTCCCCGTCTCAAGCTCGGCATGCTTCCGATTGGCCCGAACCCGTTGTGCGCCGCCACTCTTGATTTAGCCAGGCAACGTTTGCCTTCTGCTTGGTAAGGCACAGTCCAAAAGTATCTCTTCTGGCATTTCTAACTGCGAAATCTCTCAGTAAGCTGCCGTCTTATTCATCTGCTTGGCGAGCAGTCTGCTTTTAGCCCCGGAGGAAGGGTATATAAGTGGTGGCTTCGACGTCTATCCCAGTAACTCCCCCGCTCAGCTCCTCAACCACAGACAAAAATGAAGAACATATTGTTTACGGGTGGAACCGGCATGCATCATCCTCTCGGATGCTTCTCATTGCGCTGACTCTCGGATACAGGCTACATCGGTGGACCTATCCTCTCTAATTTAATCCAACGGCAAGATCCCGACCTCAATATCACGGTTCTCGTCCGATCTTCCATCAAAGTGCAGCAGCTGCGTTCCTTGAACCTCGGCGTCAACGTCGTTGCTGGCTCGCACGAAGATGCAGAGCTCGTCGAGCGGCTCGCGTCCGAGGCGGATGTTGTCTTCTCCCTCGTGCGTAACTATATGCAGTTGAATGCGTGTAAACTAATGGCGTGTTTCACAGGCGGACTGCGATGACCTCCCCGCGGCAGAAGCTGTCTTGCGCGGACTCGAAAAGCGGCATCAGACTACGGGGACCAAGTCTGTGCTGATCCACATGGTAAGTACATATGTTGTTCTCACATACGTGGTCGCCTAACAATACTTGTAGTCCGGTACAGGCTGCTTGGGCGACAACGCAAAAGGCCTCTTCGCCTCGTCGACCATCTTCACCGACACCGACCCCGCACAGATCGGGTCTCTGCCTGCCACTCAGCCACACCGAAACGTCGATCTGGCTATCGTTGAAGCGGATTCCCGTGGTACGTCCACTGGAAGCTTGTCGTGAAGTTGCTCACAGCTGAATGTACAGGATACCTCGATACATACATCGTCGTGCCCCCAGGAGTGTACGGCACCCCGCAAGGCATCCTCGCCGATAAGGGCATTCAAAACGCCACGAACGCCGCATTTGACGCGTTGATCCGCGCCTCGTTCAAGCGTGGAGCGGCGGGAATCGTCGGTGAAGGGAAAAATATCACTGGGCACGTCGATGTCACCGAACGTATGTCACATGTGTTGCTCTTGGACTCGACGTTCATGCTGACAGCCCGGTGTTTAGTGGGTGATTTTGTCGTACTGCTCTACGATACCGTTGTCACCAACTCCGCCGCCGTGGGACACGGTCGGCAGGGGTACTTCTTCGCGGACAACGGAGACATTCCGTTCTCGGAGATCACGAAGGCCATCGAAGCTGGAGTTGGCCCGCGTCGAGCGCTCACTCAAGAGGAGCTGGAAGAGGCGCTCCCCGGTCGGGTGCGTTTACTATCTGGTTCTTATTTTGAGAGGTACAAATTGATTGAATCTCATCCAGCCAAACGTCCAGCGGTTCTTTGGTGACAACTCGCGTAGCAGGGCGGAAAAGGCGCGTGCGTTGGGATGGAAGCCGTTGAAAGGGGCGGAGGATTTCCTAGCTGCTTTGAAAAATCAGGTGGAAAACTGGCAGAGCTAGAACGATACTTGGGTGTTGTAGCTTCTTTGGTGCCGATCAGATGTGACTCAGCCGGTGCTCTTCCCCCTCTTCCCTCATGTTGCCCTCATGTACTTTGCACATTCAACTCTGTGGATTGACCCGTACCCATTTTCACTTCGGCAGTCCGGCCCTGAATGACTATGCGCGTATGTGTCGTTGCCCGCCGAAGGCCGATCCGCCGATTGGCCTTGGATTTGCCACATACCACGGGATGCCGCATTGCACGGACACTCTCGAAGCATCCCTGGGAATGCTCACGAGGTCCACATACTTAAAGAGCTTAGCGAAGCTCTGCCTACCACATGGCTTACCTCTTCTCAGGGTCCGATTCGAATTCCTTCCTATTTCCATCGCTCGCAGCAGCGGTTCTCTACTTCCTCTTGCGTCATGGGGCCCACCGTTCCAAATTGCCATTGCCACCTGGACCCAAGAAAATGCCCATCATCGGGAACTTGGTCGACATACGCGGTAAACGCATCTGGGAAGCCTGCATGGATTGGAGCCGCAAATACGGTACGTGAATGCCTCTCCCCACTCCTCTGCTGAGTGACATAGCCAGATTCCGACATTATTCACCTCGATCTCGCTGGCACATCCTTCGTGGTACTTTCATCGTCCGAAGCAGCAGAAGAACTGCTTGAGAAACGCGGCTCGATCTATTCCGACAGGTCTGTGCTTCCATTTCTTGAGGCATACCTCATTATCATTGCAGGCCTACGTTCCCTATGTATGAACTCATGGAATGGACCTTCATCCTCGGTTCGTTCCCCTCTTGCAATCTGTCAAAGCTAATAACATACCGCAGTCCTCTTGAAATACGGTATGCAACTCGTCTGAATGGGTTGTACTCAAGGGATCTTCTTCCAGGCGATCGGTGGTGAGCCAGCATAGTTATGCAACTCGGCGAACTGAGCTCTGGACGCAGGAGGACCCAACGCCGTCTTTTCAACGAGCATCTCAACATAAACGCCTCGCACAACTTCAGACCGCAACAACGCACCGCCGCTCACTCGTTGCTTCGCAGACTGCTTCATACGCCCAACGATTTTTTGCAGCATGTCCGATTGTACGTTGGACCGTCTACGTCTGCATTTTGGGGGCCAGAAAATGATTCCTTGACAGACTGGCTGGGGAAATCATCATTCCCATCACGTATGGACTGGATGTCCAGCCCTCAAATGACCCATATGTGGACCTGGCGGAAAGGACGGCTCTCCAGACCAATCCCGGCGTATCTGGCGGCTTCCTCATTGTCAGTACATCTCCATCCACCTGAGACTTGCCTGAGTTCAATTCTTTAGGACTTCCTTCCGTTCCTCAAATACATTCCGGAATGGTTTCCCGGCGCTGGGTTTCAAAAGACGGCGAAGATTGTTCAGAAGCTGGGCCGGGATTTACAGAACGTCCCATTCCAGGAAACGAAACGGCAGATGGTACCTTCGCCGCCCATATACCTAATCTACCGACTCACAGCCCTCAAAAGGCAGCAGAAGTGCTTCGGCCATCGTTCACTGCAAATTGTCTGCGGGATTTAGAAGGTGGGGAGAAGTACTATGACGAGACCACTGTGAAGGAGGTCGCTGCTGTCATGTGAGTGGCAACATCCGCATGTCCGGCTACCCTAATCCGCCTTTGCACACCCAGGTATGCAGCAGGAGCTGACACCACGTCGACTGTGCTAGCCACATTCTTTCTCGCAATGCTCGCCAACCCCGAAGCTCAGAAGAAGGCGCAGGCGGAAATTGATGCAACTATCGGCCAGGGATGTCTTCCGGATTTCGACGACCAAGACGCGCTCCCGTACGTCGATGCACTGGTGAAAGAGGTCCTGCGGTGGGCACCTGTGGTACCATTCGGTGAGCGCGATTCTTTCTGCCTACTGATCTCTTTGATGAGAGTGATCTAGGTGTTCCGCATTCAGTACGAGTCGAGGATGAGTACCGCGGTTATCGAATCCCTGCGAATTCCACGGTTGTTGGAAATGCTTGGTTAGTACTGAACGTTGAGCATCCGTCCAATTCATCACACGTTGACTGATCCCGCCTGTAGGGCCATTCTCCACGACGAGGTGCGTTTCTAATGTTAGATTCAACTCTATTGACGAGTCTTGGCAGAAAATGTATCCAGAGCCATACACCTTCAAACCGGAGCGTTTTCTGCTAGACGGCAAGCCCAATCCATCCGTCAAAGATCCTGACGCTGCTTTCGGCTTTGGGCGACGGTAAGGAAGCTCTCACCTGTAGTCTATTCCACTGCTGATCATGAATTCTGGCAATCGGATCAGGATTTGTCCCGGCCAACACCTCGCATCTGCGTCCCTGTGGATCACTATCGCCTCCGTGCTCGCTGTGTTCGAAATCGGCAAGAAAGTTGGGGAGGACGGGAAGATTGTTGAGCCCTCGTATGAATGGGAAGACGGCGTAGTTTCGTGAGTGCATCTGCTTGATGTCAATCCGGGTAGTGATTTAGTTTTCAGCGCACCCGTGCCGTTCGAGTGTGACATCCG